GCCGAGGCCGCCGCGCGGCTGCGGGATGCGGCGGGCAGGGACCCGCTGGCCGCCGACCTGCGCTGCAGCCTCTTCGCCGCCGCGCTGCAGAGCTACAAGCGCGACTCGGCGCTCAGGCCCTTCCCGGGCCGCTACGCGCACGGCGACACCAAGGACTTCGAGGCGCTGGTGAGTGGCCCCGGGACGGGGCGGCCCCGCGCGCGGCCCCGGCCGCCTCCCCGGCCCGCTGCCGCCGCCGCGAGCGAGAAAACCCCGGGAAAACCCTCCTTTGTTCTCCCAGAGCACGGCTAGCGGCGAGGCCTGGCAACAAGGATGTGGTGGGGTTGTTAATACAATAGTCTGGACTGCAGAGCAGCTTTAAACTGCTGCTTTGCGGGGGTTATAGCCCACACAGCCCCACTTTGCCTTTGGAGCGAGGAAAACCACCTCAGCACCAGGTCAATGGGCAGTTTCCAGGCATAGTTTGCCTGGAAACTGGGGAAAACGGGAGATATTTCCCTTTCCCTACCCGGCAGAGGCCCTGTCAGGGCTGCACTTCAAGCCCCATAAGTTGCACATCCATTTAAGGAATCTAAACTTTAAAGTAAATTTGTTATTCTAGTCGATAAACTCCTCCTTGGGGCCTTCCAAGGCCAGTATTGAAAGGGGAAGAGATACCCAAGGGTGTTGGCCTTGTGCATAACAGTTAGCATAACTACTACATTTAATTAAAATAAGTGAGGGTGTGTATTTTAGTGGCCCGTATGCCCGTGGGGGTTATCACGCTTCAGATAAACTCCAGAAATCAGTGTGATATCAGCCCATCCTTCTGCATACCCTTCCAGACACTCATCACAAACATTTTATAACTTCCCCAGCATGTGAGAACACGTGACAGGCTTTCCCCAAAAGTCATTGCACACATTTATATCTCAGGACAAAAAACTGCTTTCCAGTCTACAGCTTATTAGGGTGAAATATTGTTTTGCTTTCGCTAGAGGTCTCTGTTTAATCGCGGTGGAAAGAAGGAAGTTTTACCAAATGCCTTTCTCCCCAGCTTGCAGATACAAATGCCTTACCAAGCCTAAAAGAGCTGCTAGAATCTGCCCCAAACACAGAGAAAAGGGCCTGGGATTTGTTTGGTTGGATTTTATCATCCAAGATCTTGATGATACAGAGTACTAAGAAGCAGGAGGTAAGTTTTCTGTTCTGAAAGTCTTGATCAGAATTGGCCTTTAAAAGCGAAGTTACATTTCAGAGTGACTGAACTTTGCTGGTCACTCTGAGAGCTTGAAGTTCTCCAGTTAATTTCCAGTCATGCTCTAACCTTTATTTTTCCTGCAAGAGCAACCCTGATTTAGCTTTGACAAAGAAGCACTTTGCTATAACAGAAGCCAGTAAAACACTGTCAGAATCCTTACAGCACACTTATTCCTTCGGAATTATGGGAGTAATGCAATGGGAGTATGTAATGCAGAGGGCATTAACACAAAATGCAGAACAACTTGGAAGACTAAGAGACAGTAACCTGACTCTCCATTCCTTCCATTTGAAAGTATGAGAAGATCCAAGAACTCACGGGGATGTCTGGTGCTGCTGTTCCCGCTCCGGATTTCCTGTTTGAGATCATGTATTGCGAGCAAATGAACGCCAAGTTTGCCGAGACCAGGGGAGAGCGGGACCTCATCTACGCATTCCATGGGAGCCGCCTCGAGAACTTCCACTCCATCCTGCACAACGGCCTGCAGTGCCACCTGAACAAGGTGAGGCTCTGGGCATTTCTTGTTGAAGAATCTCACTTGAAGCTGGTGACACTTTACAAAAAGCAGGCACAAATCCATCCAGAAATACAAAAATGTGCTTACAATCTTACACTGTTGTTTTCACTCCAGCGTAGACCTTTATGCATGAGGACGTTGGATTTTCCAATGCAGGCTGAGGTAAAAGCTAGGAGCAGCATGAACCCCTGCCCTGTTCTCCGGTGTGGCTAATTATGGCTATCCTTTCCTCCTTTGTAAAGAAATGTAATACCTCTGAAAATGTTGGCCAGTTTGACAGCCTTCAGCTGGAAAGTCCCTGTGCCTGGAAGAAGGTGGTGTAGGGTCTCTACAGGCAACACAGAGATCCTTTTTCTGCAAGGCTTCTCCAGCTTAGATGATCTATGTTGTGGGTGCTACTTGTAAACAGCTTTCTTTACATGGCTGGGCTAAGGGAGATGTTTTGTGGGGGAGAAAGGATTTGCAACAATTTTGACTCAACAAAAATTTGACTGGCATTTACTCCTAGCCCAGTGTGTCACCTAAAAATCATCTCTGACACAACAGCTCCACATCCTTCCAGTCAGCTGGACCATGCTTGGAGCAGTAACACTATTTTCAACAACCTAAATTTCTTTACCATTATCAGATTTTCTAACTCATTATCATAAAAATTATGACTTTTTTTCCACCCCACACACATCAGCAGAGTGTAGAGAAGAACAAAGCCTTTTTTTTCTCAGAAGGACACAGTTGGCACCAGCAGATTAGGAACTCTTTTTTTCCTCACATTCTCTGAGTAATGGCACATCATCTACAATAGGTTTACTGGGTTAACAATTTTAGATAGTGTGGCAAAACTTCTGACTCAAAGTTATTAAAGCAATTATACTTGAAAGGCTAAAAAGTGCTTACGTCTTCTTGCAAGGCAGGGTTCGAAAGGGGAGCAAAGCTTTGTCCGTGTGGGGAAGTTCAACTTGGTAAATCAGGTATCCCAGCAATTTTTCTTTCATATTGATACAGAATACTTAACTGACAAACTTAGCCTAAGTATGGGAAAGTGTGAGCCCTTACTCACCAACAGGCCTGCCAAGTAGGTGTTAATTTGAGGGCTAGGAGAAGACAGCCCTTTCCAAGACTCATCCTAACGAAGTTCTGTCAGGAAAGAAAACAGTGGGTGCATCCAACCCAACCAGGGCTGTAAGAAAAGCCTTTCTTGGTTTGCTCTCAGAACAGTCTGAAAATAACACCTGAACACTGTCTATAGCATGCACTACATACATTTAACATCTCTTTCTGCTCGGTTTCAGACATCCCTGTTTGGTGAGGGCACCTATCTCACCAGTGACCTGAGCCTGGCTCTGCTCTACAGCCCTCACGGGCTCGGTTGGCGCCAGAGCGTTTTGGGCTCTGTCCTTAGCTGCGTGGCTGTTTGTGAGATCATTGACCACCCAGATGTGAAGTGTCAGGTGAAGAAGAAAGGTGAGTCTATTGCAATAATAATAATAACTACATAATTTAGCTTTTGTTAGTACTTCTCATGTTTCATCCTTGTGCATATATGATACTATCATACAAACACCTCAGCATGGGGAATTTATGCCCATCAGTAGAAACTGTCTGGGGGCACCTTTTCTGATTGACCCCTCACAAAGGTACAGCCTTCTTGACAGTGAAAGAAACTTCTCTTAAGATAGACATTTCAAAGTTTGGAAATTATTTTGGTCACATTGTTTTTACTAATTTCAGTAGCCTGATAACACATGCTCCGCATTGCTTAGTCATGTCACTTGTGGTTGCCAGATAGGAGGCTCACAAACACATAAAAATGAATTTTATAAGATAGGAAACCTCTGCTCTGATTGCCCATCTGCTTTGGCAGCTTCCTGCTTGGAAGGCTCAATCCTTCAATGTTATTTCTCTTTCCCTGTTAATACCAGCAGCTGTTCAGGCACTCAGAGATCCATCCCCTTTTTACCCTGGCCCAAAGCATAATACCATCCATTCCACAGATAACTAGGAGTGGTGTAGCCTTAAGCAAACTTTTTGGTCTATTCTTGGATGCTAAGGGTGTCGTCTGGGAAATGCCAAGACTGGATCTCTGGTTATCTCATTCCCAGTATTGTGGGTGAGTGGGTTTAACTGTTTTTCCTTTTCTGTTCCTAAAAAGACATATTCTCTTCCCATGCAGATTCAGAAGAAATAGACAGGAAAAGAGCAAGAGTGAAAAACAGCGAAGGGGGCGATGTGCCACAGAAATACTTTGTTGTCACAAACAATCAGCTTTTACGAGTTAAATACTTACTAGTATATTCACAGAAACAGCATAGAAGGTAAGACTTCAGCTTTCCAGAGTGCCAGCTGTGCTATAACAGCCAGATAAACACATCTGGTTTATGCAAAACAGAAGGCAACCAGCAAGAAAGAGATGATTCAGTGCCAGAATTTGAGTTTAATATATTTTCTATGGAAATAAGGTTGAGATGCTTCCCTGCCAGAATTTAGCCCGTTTCCTGTGGAATCAGGCTTACACGATCTCAACACCTCTAAAGCCAGCTCCGCAGTTACCCTTCCCCCTTTCCTTATAATTCAACACTTGCAGTTTCAGCTAAATTGGGTTTTTCACCGAATCTGTAATAGCTTAGAAGGAATTTCTGAGACCTCAGTAGTCTGCCCACAACAGGAAACAAGAGAAATCCCAATGAGTATCCCTTAAAAGTGCAGTTTTAGTTCTGCTCTCCCTTGTTCCAAAGGGGCAGCATTCCTCAACTCATCAGCCTGTGTCTGCAGCTACAGTCCCGACACAGCTCCAAACCAGTCATGGAAAAAGGTGCAAATATAGGGAGAAAAGACTGAAGTTGGACATGTTGACTTAGGGTTCATGAGATACTAATTATAGGGAAAAGAGACAGTTTGTTGCATTGTTCATGGAGTAGCTTTCTCACTGCGTTAGCGTACTCAGTCATACAAAATAATGATCGAGTATACTAATATTTAAAATAATGATACTTAAAGCCTAAGATGATCTCTTTGCCAAGATATTTGTCTGTCTCTCACAGAATTCCTGCACTTCTCCCTTTGCAGGTCCCCTAGTCAAGCCTCCTGGCTTTCCACGCACCGGTTTGCTGTAATGATGATGCTCTACCTGCTGCTGCTAATGGTGATAGGGGCCAGCAATTCCCCCACCTTCCTCTACTACTGGCACAGAATGTTCGACTCAGAAGGATGAATTGCCTGGGATGATGAACTATTATTTTCACCATGTGCCTTAATAATAGCAAATTCACTGTGTACTGCATCTGTTGAAGAGCTCTGAATGTGAAGGTGCTTGGAGCTTTCCAATTCCGTCTACACCAAGTTATCCTCGTGGCATCTTTCCCTTTATTCTTATTTCTGTGCTCCCACGATTCAGGAGGATGCCCAGGACAGCTGAAGAGGGTTGTGATGGTGCAGTCTAGCATGAACCAATTGCTAAGGGTCCATAAAAAAAAGCTATTTAAAATTAATGAAAACTTAGTGGGACATTTTCTGTCAAGCTGGGGTAGTAATATTTGCATGCAGTGGGAAAAGAAGGTTTGCCTGTGTGTTGGAGAAGGCTGCCTGTAGCAGGTGTTAACCATTTTGCTCTCAGAATGTGTATTTAGTGATGTTTTTCATGTACCGATACAGATGGTCACATAAGACTAACTTTGGTTTTGGCCAGAAAATTTTATATTTGAGCATAAGAAGAAAACAGCATGAAATGGCAACTGAAGTGAGAGAAATTAAATGTTTTTAAAATTTTTCTTTTGTTTCTTTTTACATACAAAATCCGCATTTTGTGCACTCCATTATTACTTGCCTTGTTCTTAGTTGGATAGATCAGGCTGAACTAACAGCTCAGCATCAGTCCTAAAGGAGGGATTTCCTCTTAAACTGCCTTCTGCCCTATCTTTGCCACCAAGGGGGAGGGTGAAGCTTTCTATTTACACTGACGCCCGCCAGGCTTTTTAGGGTTGCTTGTTCCTTGGGATCCACCTTCCACATTTGCACCCAGATTGTAGAGAGAGGCAGAAAACGATTCAAACATGTACATTAACTAGCAGTAACACCCCAGCTATTTCCTGAAACACTTTTCAAAGAAATGCAGTAAAATGGAAATGGGGCTGGCATGAAAACCTTAGTAGAATTAACTTTGTGTAGACTTTAGGTCTCCAGGTGACAGCTCGTGCACAATACCACCTGCTCACAGGACAGGTCATCTATGTTCAGTTTGCAGAAAGATTTGAGTTTTTCATGGTCAGAATTACAGCAGTCACCCTCTTTGTGAGGTGCTTTGGCTCAATATTGACGTGTACAAGCCCAGTACATCTCACACTGGTCTTTTCTAATCCTGAAATAGGGAATTCTGACTGCATTTCAGGGGCCTGCTTGAAAAGAAAGGAGTAGGGCATGCGCAAATTCATTGCAGACCATAAAGAAGGAAACGTCCTCCCGCTTCTGCCCAAGGCTTTTGTATTTGCTGTTGTCACAAAACAACCCTCCACTAACTGAAACTGAAAACGGAACAAAGAAGGATCCTCTGATTAGTGCCCTCGGGCATGGGACAAGCGTGCTGAATGGCCCGGAAAAGCTAGATACCTGCCACTGTTGGAGCTTGCACTCTGGCCTTTAGTCGTAGGCTTGATAAATGCAGCTTTTCATTGCACAATGAACCTTAAGAAAAATAAATAAATCTCGTCACATATTCCCAGCACATGAGTATATGATTACAACCTTACTCATTAAATATTTCAAAGAAAATCTCGTCTTTCTCTGATGTTGTTCTGTTACCTAATTGCCAGAAATAATGACCCGGTAATCACGTTTTCCAACTCAAGCCTAAGAATTGGTTCATTTACAGCAACCCCTCTTGTTGGTGGATGCAGCTAGAAGCATTTATTCCAGTTAATTTTGCTGCCAGAACAAATTTATTTATTCACCATACAGCTCGCAAAACAAGAACATTATAATCCAATTCCCCATTGCCTTTTACAGTCCATTAATACCACTCACTGTTACAGCACATTGCGTTTCCGAGCCCAAGAAATGCGTGCACTAATTATAGCATTGATTTGAAATTAAAATATACATAAATATCACATGACGGCTTTTTTCTCAAAGAAAGGGATCTTCTGGGCACAACTGCACAGGCCAGCACTGCAGCTATATCACAACGTGACAGAGGAAGGTCCCGTGGAAAAAGCCACTGGATAGACTGACAAGAAAGAGGGACATGCAGGCGGGCACCCAGGGCCCAATATCCTGACACCCGCTTCCCAGGAGCCCTTCAAACGTCCCTCCTCGCTCTCCCCCTGCTTTTATCATTGCATTGCAGCTGGACACAAGCTCCTCGGTGCTTTAGCAAAGGTAACACCGTCCTCTTCAATAGCAGGAAAACGAATGCATTTAAGGTGCTCAGGTTCCCTAACGGACGAGCAAAACGCTTAATTTACGAGCACGGTGCTTGTTTGTGGTGCTCCCTGTTGCTTCGAGCATGTTTCCCAGCGCAGCGCCGCGCAGCCAGCTGGAAGAATTTGAGTGCTGTGCCGAGTAACCAACGAGATGATGAATTAACCCAAGGTTCATATTAGCCTCTTAAGCCACTCGCACAGCGCTTTGAGCATGTGCAGCGGTATAAAAACGCTAACGGGGAGTGATTCAGAGCTGCTTCCCGAGCACAGGATTAGTGCGTCTGGAGGAGGCAGCCCAGGGTTAGGGTGCAAAGCACTCAAACACAGAGCTACCCCCGCTTATTAGTGTGGGCGCAGAGCACTTGCATGGGAAATATCAAGAAAAGAGGTAAAAACAAAAGTTAGACACATCTGATCATGCAACAGATGCAAGAGCTGCAGCTGGTGTTTCACAATGGGGAATGGGAGCATTTGGGGCAAGTGGAAGATTTCTGTGTTGAGGGGAAATGGACAATATAGAAGTGGGAAAATGGTCCTAACAGCCACCAGAGGTGGAGGGCAGGTGCTGGGGACAGCAGTTGGAGGCAGGAGGAGGGAACTGCATCCCAGCTGAGGAAGCCGAGGAGCCAAGTTGCACATTCAAGTTTCACATTCACCATCAGTAACACGGAAATGTTTCGCTCTAGAAAGGACAGAGGGGTTTCAGAAATGCACGGTCAGAAACACAGGCACAGCTCTGCATCCAGAAAGACAGGTCCAGCCAGCACAGCCCCAACACTCCAATGAGGTTTGGGCTTCATTCCATATCCAGCAGAAACCCATTAGCTGCTGGGTCACCACGAAGCTGCTCAAACAGGGCTTCAGGGTCAGCACTTCCCTGGTTGCACCCTCCTCATTCCCTGCTTCATCTCATCCCACCCAAGTCACAACCTTCTCGAGATACCTATGGAAGAAAGTGCTTCTTGCTCCATGGAGAAGGTCTCGGAGCTCTCCTGCAGTTGGATAAGGAGGGACATGGGGCTCTCAGTGCATGCAAAGCACTGGGCTCTTCTCTCCCCCACAGCAGGAAGCTGGTGAATATCACGAGAAGGTTACAGACCCTTTCCCAGCAATTTGAGGCTCTTTATACACCTTGAGGATCTCTCTCCCCTTAGACACCTCCATCTATTTAAACCACGAAACCAAATGAGAGTCCGATGAATATTCCCCTGTACCACAAATCACTCCCCTCGCCATGCAGGGGACTCCCATGTGCACAGCTCAAGCTGAGGTGTCACAGAAGCAGCAAGCTCGGCTCCCCATTAGCACCCCATAATTGACCTTCAACAGAGCAAGCCCAGCAGACCTGCAAACACCATTTGACACCTCTCTGGCTTAAATCCCTCCTGCTCATCGCTGCAGGAGGAGAACATGGGGCAGCACCAATGCGAAGACCAAGTTTGCACCAGCATTCCAGCAAAGATCCTATTCCCAGGACACAGCACACTCCTGGAAAACACCTTTCTAGAGAGGAAAAGTCAATGCAATCTTGGACAAGACACCTGGATTTCGCCCAGCTCAGCAATATCTTGCCCCTGTGGGCAGCAACGCCCTTGTCTGAATTGCCAGAGCCTTTGCAGGAGGGTCCTTCTCAACCCAGGGACCCTCCTGGCAGACAGGATCACGCAGGGTCCCCCCTGTGCTCCAAGGGCATTTGATGAATTGGTGGTCCATGCATAGACACCTTCCAGCTTCCCTGGGCACTCACCCAGAGCAAGCCAGAAATGGCTTTAAAAACAAACCCTTTCATCATTATAGAGTCCAAGAGCTCATTAAGAACTTCACTTGTCACAGAAATACCCAGAGAATTGCCTCCTGCCAAGTGCTGAGGTCAAAGAGCTCCTGCGCTGCCCGAAGATTTCACTGCCTTCTAAACAAAGGGGAAAAAAATCCACTAAATTCAAAACTAAATTTAGCCCCACAAGGCATTCAACAACAACTAGCACACAAAATGAACAAACAGAAAATCAGCCGCTTCTCTTTGCCCAGTAGACAACAGCACAGTCAAATAAATCCATTTTTTCAACCTCTGTCCTTGGAAAAGGCACCATCCTCGATGGCCGCTCAGAAACAACTTTTTGAGAAAGTTGTTCTTGTTGAGTTGAGAAAGAACACAGAAATGGGCAAAAAGCAAAGCTCCCACTTTACTTACTCCTCAGCAGGGCTATCACAGCTCCTTCCCTCATGCTGGTCCTATGCAGACCTCCAGTTTCTGCTCTAGTCCAGCAGCACCCCTGCTCCACACTCTGCAGCCAGCAGCACCCAACTAGCTCCCATCACCACTGACTTACCCTGCAGGTGTTTCCCATCAGGTTATTTGCTAGGAAACTTCCCCCCAGCCCCACCTCAGCTTGCAGGGACGGTCACAGGTGTCCTGCTTTGGGCACAGGGAGCTGGGGTAGCTGAGGCTTCTTTCTGGCATGAGGTTGAGCAGTTAGGGCTAAGCACCTCTGTATAAAGTGTCCTGCTGGCAGCCTCCAAAAGGGAGGAGAAATGCCAGCCCATGGTGGTTCTTGGTGCCTCCTGTTGCATAAGTCCCTCCGCATACTCAGCATCTCCTTCTCTTCCACGCAGAAGGGAAAAGGGGGGCAGAAAATGACCCTCCCCTCTGATTCTGAGGCCGCGGAGAGAAGGGTGGGATGAGGAAGAGGAGAAGGGTGGGATGAAGAAAGCTTCACACACGTGGAGCAAAGGATGCAGTTGAAGAACATGTCTCAACACGCCCCTGTCCTCTGCTGGGGTGGAAAACCAGACACCACCGAACAACTGGGTGCCTGGAATAGCTCTCGCTAACACAAATGCCGCTCCGAGAGTCCAAGAACAGGAACCCGAGCAGCACTTGCACACAAACAACCCAAGGACGACTTGTTTCTACTGCACAGGTTGCAGGAAGTACAAAACGAGCTCCTCTGCATGAGTCACTCCCAAGATCTGAATCCTCCATGGAGCTTCACGCAAGGCGATGGGAGAGCCAGAGACTCAGGAGCCCGGGGAGCAGCGGTTTTGGATGGGTTGGTTTCAGCAGCATGGCAGGTGCTCGATGCCCGAGTTGGTGTCAGGAGATAGCTAGTAGCAAATGTAGGGGACAAACAGGCAGTTTTCCTAGTTGTCACAGAGCTCTCCATATACGGAGCACTAACCATAAATGCCTCCAAAATTGGTGTTTTTCACCCTGAGAGCAGGTCGCAGAAACATCCCCTGTTAGTTTTGCTCATACGGACCAAAGTAAGGTGGAAAAAACTCCACGGGACAGTCTCCAAAAGGTGTCTGTGGGATGAAGGAGCCCCTGAAGGTGGATCTCAGGACTCCTTCCAGGTGTGTGCTTCAGCACACCGTGTGCACAGTGGTCCCATTGGAGCCTCCCGATGCCACCCCACCATTTACACCGTCATCCTTGACGTTCTTCTCCGAGCTTGAGACAGGTCTGTGTCTCTGCCGCTGGGTAAACACCATTTTGATGCTCCTGAGACACAGCTGCATGTCCTCTTGGAACGACGGGGTGTACAGCCCATAAATGACGGGGTCGGTGCACGTGTGGAGCAAGCCGAAGAGGAAGAAGCTGTGGCTGATGTAGTCCGGCATCCTTTGGATCATGTCTGGCTGGAACCAGTACCACAAGCCCAAGAGGTAGTAGTGGGTCCAGCAGATGATGAAGGTAGCGACGATCACTATGGTCATCTTGAGGGTCTTCATGCGGGCCTTGGAGATGTGGTTGCTTTTACTTCTTATCAGACCTGCCAGCGGGGAGGCAAAGGGGTAACTACAGATGGGAGAGAATCAGCACAACAAAAAGATCTGCGGTGGCCAAAGTCACTCTTTCTGACAAAGAGGGGAAGATTATCTTATGGTCCAGTTTGGTGCCTGTGTGAGGGTGAGAAAGCAGTGAGGGTGGAGGTCAAGAAGACTGTCTAGCCCCCCAGCTGGGTTACTGCAGGGTGCTGGTGGGCTGCTCTATGCCAAAGTTTATCTCCTTTACAGTGAATTCGTGCAATTCATGGACCATGATGAATACCTGGTTTCAAAGGGTCTACCTTTCAAGAGAGCAGTTGCTTATAAAGCCAGGTTGAGGCCTGGCTCTACAAAGCCAAGGGCATGAAGTCAATAACACACTAGACTTTTCTCACCTTGGGCCTTCAAGCTGTTTCTCTGCACCTTCCCTGCAGGCCTTGGATGGTGCAAGGGAGATCTGGAGGTCCTGGCACAGGTGAGCCAAGCCGTGGCCTCTGCCACCTCGTGCCATGCTGTGCAGTTTCTTGCAGGAGACTTTCTCTACAGCACTTCCCCTCAGGAAAATCTTTGCTATTTTCCATCAGAAGTGAATTTGCATCTCCTTAATAATGTCTGGTCTTGGAGAAGTGAGAGGATCTGGCTAGCTCTGCAATCAAATATCCCTTTGAAATCAAAGGGGTTCTGGATGGACCCAACAACCCTCCAGGACTGAACAGGATTGATGGATGAAGTCATGCTGGAAAGTCACTGGCCATGGCCCACTTACCTTTGCTGATCTTTAGCTGTTTGCTGATCTCCCACATGATTTGGATGTAGCAAACGATCATGACGCTTAATAGGATTATGTATAGGGTGGTGAAGGTGAACATGTTGTAGACCATTTCTTCCCAGTGCTCTTGGAAACTGCCGTGGGTGACACACTGGGTGAAGTTCACTCCTGGGATGGTTTGCAAGTGGAAAAGGAAAAGCTGGAATCAAGAACCAAACAACAACTCAGAGATGCTGCAGAATGGGGCACCATGTCCCCAAAATGTTCCTGCACACTTTCCTTCTCCGTTGGTCTGGGAGACACACTCCGGTGCCTCCCAAGCCAATTCCCAGCTTTGGCCAGGATAGATGGGACCGACCATCTGCAAGGTCCTATTTGCTGTCTCAAGAAAAATGTTTCTTGAGAGGCAGAAGGGAGTTAGGGTCTATGCTTGAGTAGTTAGAAGATGAGGTCCCCTGCAGATCTCCTTCAGGACTCAGTGTTTTGGGGCTCTGCCTAAGCACCAAATATGGCCCTCACTCTTTACCTTTGGCCTGTATTTTATTTTGGCCAGTAATAGGTCTAGTATGTCTCAATCCAACCCAGATTTTAGTAGTAGCAGCAGCACAAAGACACATCTCCGGGAGCAGAAAACCCCATGCACAAAGAATTTAGAACCAATGGCTCCTAGGGAGATCCCCCCACTTTTACATAATGCCCAGGGGTGCAACATGGTGTGGAGCCTGCGTTGCTCCGGTGCCGGTGAAGTCCATGGTTGGGTTGGCTTGACCAAGGCCTACCTGGGGTGACGCCAGCAGGACACTGCTGAGGTGGAAGCGGTTGCATTGCCCAGGGCAGGACGTAGGGGACACGCGGGCGGCTGCTCTTCAGGCATTCCCTGGGCAAAAACAGCAAAAAAAAAGGTAAAGCCTTGTTGGAGTTTTATTTTTATGGCTGGAATATGATCGATTATGTGTATAATATTATATAATACTCGTGGCGTTGATCTGGGCCACCTTTTCCCTGTGCCTCCGGCTGGCACTCAGCACCTTCCCATAGCAATAGCAATCGCTTGCAGCGGGAACGTTATTTTGAGCTCTTTGCAGTGTGAGCTCTCTGAGCCCTTGACCTCCCCAACCACCGTCAGATCTTCAAAGGTGCTTTGAGCACCTTAACCCTCAAAATATCATGTAGAATTCCCCCTGCTTTGCAGAAATAAAAGAGCAGCTGCAATTAAATCCGTCCCTGCGCCCCATAGCCTGGCTGGGATGGGGATGCCTCTCCCAGAAAACACAGCCAAAAGGAGCAAAGCGATTGCTGCCTTGCCCGGAGGAACGAGGGACACCTCCGACCCCATGCAATGCCACCATACCTGGAATACGCATGGAAGGAGAAGGCTCCTTTTCCTCCCGCTGCCTGGGAAGCTCCTGCTGCTCTTCTGCAGGGAAGAGGCCAGGGAAAGGCAAGGAGAGAGCCTCAAGCTCACAGGCTGGCGCACACGGGCAGGGCTAACCCAGCACCTCCTGCACCGATGCATGGTGCGGTGCAAGCAAAGCCCGGCCTCCGCCTCTAAGCCTGCCTAACGAACCGCCCGCTTTAAGATTTAATGAGCGGGCAGCAGGGACAATGACAAATCCAAGGAGCGGCCGCCATCCAAGATGTTACCTCCGGGGTTAGGGCCGAGCGTGGCCCCGTCAGGGATACCTGCCAAGGGCACGTTGCTTTTCTATAAATACGGGGAAATGAGTTAATTATGGCTGGGGACAGGGACCGAGGCGCCGTCGCTCAGACAACTGCGGGACGCGCAGCGAGCGCGTGCAAGGAGCGACGTGCCCGGGTCCTCGGAGCACCCAGACGGACACAGGGACACGTCGGCCTGGGAATTCACTAGTAGGGAATTAAACACAGAGAGAAACTTGAGGCTGTTTTCCCATTCGGGAAAGCTCCTTCTTTTCCCTGCACTTCCTCCACTCCTGTTTGGTTCTTTCCCTATTTATTTCCACATGATGCGGCGTGAGCAAAACCTCCACCAGATGTGCAAAACCTGGGAGGCAGCGAGCACTCAGAAGGCCTCGGAACAGCCCGGAAAACGAGCCTTATTTTTCATTTCCAACCCTTCCTTTATTTTTTATCTTCCAGGAAGCTCTTTGCACCTGCGCTAACCCCATTAAACAGCGAGTCAGGAATGCATTCCCTGGGTGCCTGCCCGCCCAGCTGGATGCCTCCGCGTCCGGAAAGGGCCTCCCCTTCCCGCCGGCACGCCACCAGACGGGCCGGGATTCTCCTCGGGAAGCGCAGGGCTGGCTCCGGCCCCGGCCGCCTCCGCTCCCGCTCCCGGGGGAGTTTTCCAGCCCCACGTCACGCGGCCGCTGCTCCACGACGGCTCGTCCGCAGGGTGCGGTCCCCTCTTGCAGGGAATGTTTTTCTCCGGCATGTGCACAGTGACCCCCCGGCTGCCTTTTTTTCTTCCCCTCCTTCTCTCTCTGCTTTCGTCTTCTCAAAGGTCAGCAGGGATGAGGGCTGCTCCAGCTGGAGCTCCAGCTATTCCCAGCCTGGTTTAGCAATCAGGACACGGGTCACGAGGCTACGGGAACCACAAAGTGGCTACGGTGACGATCCGGTAGCAGTTTTGTCCCATGATGACCTTAAATGATAGAGCCAGCAGTGTCACATTGGAGCTGGGGACCAGTGATGGCCGGAGGGCACCTGCACCAGGAGCTGCTGCTGCTTCTGCTCAAGCCCTGCACTTACCTTCTTTTTGGGGGAAAAGCGGCTGTTTTCACCTCCCAGCAGAGCTACTGGTTTGGGGAGCTCTAAACTGGCCCCAAGGGGACAGGGCAGAGGGAGAGGAGCAGGTAGAGATGATGCTTTTCCCTTCCCCGCTGCAGTTTTGGGTGGTCTGTTCCCGTCGTCTGCCTCCAAAGAGACGCAAAGTGATGGATTAACTGTGCGAGGAGTTTGTCTTTTCTAAAAGCTTTTTCTCTTCCCTCTTCCAGGCACAGATTGCCTCAGGAGCAGCTCATCCAAGGAAATTCTTGTCTCATGCTGGCCTCGGAACAGAAAGTCTAGTCGGGGCCCCGGCGCGTTCCTGCGAGCAAATACCGGCGCCCATGAGCTCATTTCCCCGGGCGAGCGGTGAGCTCAGCCCCGGCGCAGCCTCCGCCGTCCCCGACTCACCAGCCGGGCACGAAGTTCACGGCCCCCGAGCCCTACCAAGGGATGAGCTGCTGCGAAGGAGCAACTTTGGCTTATAATGAGCCAATGCATCCACAGGGAACACATACTGGCATTGGGAAGGATGCTCCTGCATGCTCTTGGCTCAGTCCTGGCACTGCAGGTCTGTGCCATCCTGCACACACCAAGTCACAACCTCCATCCCACGGCCTTACAGAGGAGTGAGGATCTCCAGGTGCTTTTCAGGTCTTGATGCACCCAACGCCAGGCAGCTGTGAGCCCAGCACAGCCCCCGAGCACGGCCAGTGCCCCAAGGATGGGTGCAAAAGAAGTCACTTCATCCCGCTCTGCTTCCCAACCCGAGCGGATGCTCTGCCCCTCACTCCGTCCCTGAAGCAGCGGGACAAGCCAGCGTGCCACCCCGGGGCCAGGGGGACATTCCCATGCTCAGCCAGCCCTGGCCGCTCCGCCGGGGCTGCCAAGTGGGGAGTTAATGAGTGTCGCCGCTCGCACCCGTTTGCTGTCCCAGGGCTCCCACGGCCAATCTGGGTCACGCCGCCACCCTCCAGAGATGTCCTTGTTTAGCACGGAGGGTGAAGCGTGTCCCCGGGATAACCCCCTGGCGCCGGCTCAGCCACGTGAGCATCTCTGCTGCCCACAAAGTGACCCCAGTCGGACGGGCATCCCGGAGCTGCTCCAGCTCCCGTGGGACACCCGGCACCGCTGCCTCCTCCGGTGCTTGCAGCGCTGTCACAGCCCCAAGTGGGTAATTTTCCCAAGCTGGAAGAAATTAGGAAATTGTTTTCCCTGTGACTAATGCATGGAATTGAACAATTTTGCCCTTGTTTCATGTGGGTGCTAGTTGCTCTCCTTTGCCTTTTATCCTCCCTGGTTTTTACTGCCTCCATCTGTTCTCAGCTTTGCCCCGGAATCATTCCATGGGACTGGCAGGATCCGCTCATAAACAGCCAGGGAAACGTGGGGAAAATATAGGGATCATGCCAGACCTCTGCACTGCACAGCGTGGCCATGGGAAAAGCAAACCTCTGCAAGCCAAGAAAGAGAAGGAAAATTGCCGTTCCTCTCCAAGCAAAGACCACATGTGTCCTGTTTGTCCAGGTAAGGCCCAGATCAGCCAACTCGGAGCTAGTTACCGCAGAGGTTTTGCAGCTCGGGTGCAGTCCATTGACTGCAGAACGTGACAAAGTGCAGCATTTGGGTGACTGCTGGAAGAGCTTGTCGTCCCCCTGTCACGGGCTGTGACAGTGACAGGCTCCCCTCGCCTCCTGGACGTTGCATTGACATCAAACAGTCTCCTCTCTCACACGCTTCCAAAATCGAAGCCCCCGAGATATTACAGCTCTAAGACCATCTATAAGGCCCCAGGTCTTGGATTCCTGGCTCTCTCTCCTCCCTTCTGCAAAACGAATCACCAACGTAACACGCTATTAAAACTAACAGATGCTGGAGATGTCCAGGGGGATAAAACTAGTGGGCCCACAGCTTAAAACCCTGCTCTGGTGACACTGGAGAGCCTCCCCTTCCCTCGCTGCAGCCCAGATCATGTTTCACTCATCCGCAGACTTTGTTCAGGCCCAGTTCTGATTTTTCTTACATGAAAGGCTATATTTACACCTTGGTTGGTGCTCCAAGGAGTTAACATGGGATGAAAACCAGCTGCAGTCCTTGCCACCTCCTCCTCCTTCAGGCTTCTGGAGAGGACACGGGGTTCTTCTTATTTTTGTCAAGGAGCACCATCTGCAAATGTACTTGAGTGGGACACTATGGTTTATCCAGATGTTGCCTTTCCAGCACCCCGTGCTTACCACCAGCTTGACCACAAGCTCCTTCCCAAACACAGCTCTGAGCCTCGTCCAAACTCGGGGGCTGTTTTCTTCCATCTTGGTCAGGGAGAGGTAGGATGTTCAAAGCTGAAAGTCTAATGGAAACATCTCCAGCAGGAACCAAGAATTTCCTAAGTGAGCATCCAGGAGATCCTCACTGGTGGTTTCACCAGCATGTTGTTTGGATCCTCTGACCTCTGTGCAGCCCTCAGGGTGCAAGAACACTGGAAATAGTGGCCCTGGGGTGAGGTTTGAGGAGCACTTTTTGAGAAAAACTGCTTTTAGGAAAGGAGCCCCACTTGGGTGTCTCTGTGAGAGGAGTTCGAGCTAATGCTGGATGCAGTGGGCTGAAGAAGCAGTAGAAGGGCTGTTATTTCAGGTCCTCCTGCCCATTTTTCACCCTTGTGCCAGTGTCTAGCTCTAGCACAGGACTGGCTAAACCCCCAGAGGTCAATATGTCCATCCTCGCTCTCGTCAGGCCAGTTTGGCCATGGGGATTTGGTCTAGATCCTCTCACTTCGTCAGTTCTGGTCTGTCAGGCAGGAGGGTCTGGAAGGGAGCACTCGTCCTGCTGACGTGAGCGTGATGCCAAGTTTCTCACCCGGTCTTCTTATCTCCAAACCGCCTTTGCAAGCGGGTCCTGGTTTTTAATCTAATCCACAATGTCCTCCAATTACAGGCTCTTAACACCCAGGCACTGCCAGCAGTTTCCTTCAGCGGCTGTTTCAACACCATTGGAGTGAAGACAAGCCCCATCCAGACACCCGTCAACACCAGGCGCTTGAGGCCTCTGCCCATGTCCACAGGTTCCCATCTGCCAGGGATGCTCTCTGAGAGGAAGGAAACGTTTTGAAATCGAGCAGAACTGAGTTTAAGGAAATCCATCAAGGCTTGCAGCACACCCACACGGACACTATCAGGAAAGGAGATACAGCTGTAACCATCCTGGGGGAAATCCCTTAGGGTTGGGATTAGGATTGGGGTTAGGATTGGAGTTGGGGTTGGTTTTGGGGTTAGGGTTAGATTTGGTTTTAGCATTGAGATTGGATTTGGGTTGGAATTAGGGTTGGGGTTGGAGCTGGGTTGGAGTTGATATTGGGGTTGAGGTTAGGGTTGTGGCTGGGGTTAGGGTTGGAGTTAGTTTTAGCGTTGGGGTTGGAGTTGGTGTTAGCGTTGGGTTCTGGTGGGGTTGGAGTTGGATTTGAGATCCAAGTGGCCTGACGGCACCAACCCAGACCTGTCTCTGTGTCGCTTTGGCCACAAACATGAAATAAATTTTCGGGTGATTCAGCGCGGAAGAGCTTGGAGCCTCCTGCCCTTTCCTACACCAGCCCGCCAGGCCCAACCTTGTTTTCCCTCACACTTTGGGGAACGATGACCTCATTTCCGAAGTGGAGCCATAAACACGCCACGAAATCTTGAGATTTCAGCGACACCTATGAAGAAGTGCGTATGATGAGATCAACCAACAAAAACATCTCCCCTGATTTTATTACTCAGTGATGCTCTCCGCATGGAAAGCGTTGGGTTTTTAGGCATTTTGGAGAGCCGAAGGGAAGAACATTCAACTTGAGTTGACCCAAGGCCATAGGGGTGGTCAACCATGAAAATACCACTTTTCAGTCCTTGGCAGTGCCAGCCAACCTTGTCCCCCATCATGTCCAGCTGCGACTTCATCTCCTTAGCTCTGCCCATCTCTAACACCAAGATATCTCCCCAAAGGAGATTTTGGATGGCTCCGGACCCTCAGATGAGCACTCAAAGATCCTGTAAATAAGATCTTGTAAATAAGAGTAACAAGACTTAAGATCTTGTAAATAAGACTAATAATCAAAGATTTCTTTGGATCTGAGGAATTGCCCAAAAGCTACAAGTGGCCAGCACAGGACTACCTTTTTCTGCCCAGCCCCATTTGCAGCTAAACTCCAGCTTTGCCAGCGGTGCGTTGGCATCACTGTGGCACTGCTCACATTTTTGATACCTCATGCAACACCTCTGTCCTCCTCCTGTTTGCCCTGATGGGTGCATCTCACCAGTGATGCTCCTGCTCCGGCATCCTGCAATATTCCCACCCATGCTGTTCGCTGTGGATGGAAAGTGGTCCAAGCGGATGTACCCCATGCCGCTTGCCCGGTGGGGATGCGAGGGAAAACAGCCCAAATTGACTGGTGATGAGCGGAGCCCACGGCGCTGCGGCTGCGTTTACCAAGCGGCATTTACGAGCACTTGGAGAACAGATGGATGCTGAAAAAAAAATCCGGGATAAAACTCTTTGGGCACTTGGAAAACAGCTGGATGCTGCAAAAAAATCCAGGATAAAACTCTGGCAGCAGGGCCAGCAGGATGAGGCGGGAGGTGTCACTCTGCTATAGGAGCCAGGCTGCTGCACCACAGCAGGACTGCGTGGGTCGGGGTCCTGCTATCCCCACCATTCCCAGCTCCCGGCCCAGGAAAAGTCTGCGGAGCCACGGAGCTAAAATTAGCCCTTCCTCAGCTCCAGGATTTCAGGCTTTCCTGTTGTCCCCCTTTCCCAGCCATGTTTTTTTCCCCATGTTTGGCCAGGAATGGATGCGGACCTGAGCACTGTTGAACCACAGTCAGCAGCTTAAGTAAATCCTTCCAGGGGGAAGCGGGGATGGCTCCGCGGCTCCCAGCCTGTAAATTCTTCACTGCGCAATAAAAACAAACTACAGTAGTTCATTTTTTGGGCTCTTTTCCAAGGTTTCCCAGCAGCAGCACCGTGATTTCTGTGCAGAGGAGGCTCGTGGTGGCTGTGGGGCTTGCGGGTGGTTCAGAGCCTGGGGCAGCTCCGGCCCCTCCAAAGTCTCACACTGTCCATAGGGTTACCAGGAGAGCAAAACACCATTTAAAAGCAATGGATTCAGCTCAGCATCCACCACCCCAGGAGTGGAGCTGGGGGTCAGCTCATTAGTGGAGCTGAGGATGTCCAGAGGAACCTTGCCTCCCTCTTCCGAGAGCATTCCCAGAAGGAGGTGATTTAGCAGCTGAGGTCAACTCATTTTGAAGACTTAGGGATGGAAGCGTCCCGATCTGGAGATGGGCTGGGGCTGAAGGCCAGGCCTGGGGGCTCTGACCCCACAAGACCTTCTGACACCTCAATGTGGTGGTCTGACCCTGTGGGTGATGCTGGAGTGAGACAGATGGATGGGTGGGCGGGTGGATGGATGGATGGATGGATGGATGGATGGATGGATGGATGGATGGATGGAGATCCTCCTCAGTCTACATCTGCCCCTGTGGGACATCCCGGTCTATGGGGCTGCACAGGGAGGGAGGGTTGGTGGGGACACTTCACTGCAGCTCCTCTTGCAGGACATTGCTGGCTCAGCTTGCACAGATGGGCATGTCCTACAGAGCGCGTGACCTCCTGCTCGCACGGCGCTCCTTGCTCTCCCAAACGCCCAGTGCACGGGAATGCAAATGGAACCACAGCACCCATTCACACCGCATCCATATTCCCAGGTACTACCCATCCGCAGGCGGCACCAGCTCCTGTGTGGGGCCAAGTGTGGGGAAAACGCACCATTGCACCGGGAGCAGTGACCCAGATGCAGCCAAAACGGATTAAACCCCCCCAAACCCCATCTCCCCGCAACCCCTGCACGCGGGGACGAGCCGGGCGCCCCGAGCATCCCCGGCTCGCGGGAGGCCCCGCGCGGCGCTCGCTGCCGGCAGCAGCTCCGCGTTGGCCGCGGGCCGCGCGCGCGGGGAGGGCGACGGCCCGTGGCTCCCCGCCAGCCCCCGGCCGCACGCCGGGCTATATAAGAGCCGGCGGGACCGGCTCGTGCGGCGCCCGGCTCGGCGGCAGCGCAGGACGCCGCAGAGCAGCCCCCCAGTCGGATCGCGGCTCCGCTCCGGCTTGGCGCGGAGGATGGGATTGCCCCCAGCTGCTCTGATACCGGTTCTATAGGTAAGAGCACAAAAAAGGAAAAGGGGGGAAAAAGTAAACTGCAACTCTGGTAAAAGTCAGGTTTCCGCTGCAATTCGGGATTGTGTAACTTGGCTGTGATTGCGGGTGGTGTTTGCACGGGAAGGCGTGCGGGGGGCGAGCATGCAACGGCTCCAAGCACGGCAGCTCCGAGCTCACTGGTGGAAGCAGGAAAACACGGGGGGAATCGCGCGGCCGCGGCGCTTGCGAGCCCGGAGCGCTCAGTGCCCTGAGCGGGACCGTCTCCCCCCGCTGATGCTCCGTGCGCGGGCGCTTAGCCCTTCCCGCCGGGCTCCGGGCGTCCCGCTTCGCCCTGTGCGAGAGGCTGCTAAAACAGCTCCAGAAATAGCCTCCAAGCGGGAAACCGGCGCTTAACCCAGATTTGAGTCTTAACCCGTTTTCCTCCTTGTTACTGCCCGGTTTGCATTTCGCACCGCTGCTGCAAGCTGGCAAACCCCTTCATTGGTGGCTCATGCTGGTTTGGGGTGTCAAGAAGCTGCCGCCGAATTTCCCATCCCCGTGTTATCCATTTTCAGCGTGTTTGGTTGATGCTTCCTAACCTGGAGCTATTTTTACTGTGAGCTGGTCCTTGCTGGCCTTGTCTCATGGGGAAACTGAGGCACGGAGGGGCAGCATTTGCCACGGGTTCATTAAATCCAGGGGTAAAGCTCAATGCCTGCAGCTCCAGCTGGTGGCACCCGGCCACTTGCACCCCAGACCCCAAAAGGGGTTCCTCTATGGCTGTGAACACCCAAATACCTGAAACCACGGGGTTAAGGGACTAACTAAAGTGATGCGTGGAGTAGAGAGCTGGAAAGAATTGGTCCCTCCTCTCCGTACATGAGAAAAAGGAAAAATCCTGGATTCTTTCGAAAGTTGGCAGCGACGGCTGGGCTTGGACGGGGGATTTTGCGCTTTTGGAGGCGCTCACAAGCCTCTGGCTCCCTGTGCTCTGGCGGATGGAGGAGAAATTGCTGCATTCAGCCCCGTTTGCACGCAGAGACCAGGGCGTGGGTTCCACCTGTAGCACCCGTCCGTACCAAACCCGGGCCGCTCCTGGAGGGAAGAGCGATGTTTTGGGAGGCACGTGGGGGCTCAGGGGGCGTCCTGCAGAAATATTCAGTCTCTAAAAGGCCCCTTGGGGCTTCCTCATTAATCACATCCTGCAGAAGCGATTTAGCATCGGCCACGCACGGGCACGGGGCTGCTCTTGGACAGGTCCTTGGTGGGTGTAGGTAGAGCTGAGACCTCCATGGTGGAGCGTGAGGCACCGCGTCCCCTGGGCAGCCAAACCCCAGGCCAAAGCAGCCTCTATCCCACGACGATCCATCCAACACAGAGCCTGGAAATAACCACCCTCGTCCCCGCAGGTCTGGACAAGGCGCAGGACGAAGACGGACACGTGAGGAAGCCCGGGTGCCGCCGCGACGAGGATGCTCCCGGCAAGAGGATGGCCGCTCCTCCTCCTCCTCCTCCTGGGAGCCCCGGCTCTTTCAGGTGCAGGGTGAACGCGGGTGTCTTTGTCGGGGCCTTCGCTCCGCGTGCCGGCCTCGCTGCCGATGTGGAGGCATGTGTCCGGCCGCGCTCCCGCCAGGAAGCCGGCGCTATCCCGGCCAAAGGGCTCCCGGAGCGCGGCTGGCCCGCGGCCAGCGCCCCGGCGCCGGCTCCGAGCCCGACGGGCGCTTGTCTGCGTCCATCCAGGCGGACACGAGTCGCTGACTTCCAGCCGAGCGCCGGCGAGCCCGGCGCGATGGGCGCTCCTGGTGACGTCTCCCGAGCGCTCCTCGCCTAGCAGAGCCGCACGTTAGTATCCCCACCGCCGCCGGCTCGTAGCTAATCAAGGAAAGTTAATTAAGGGATGGGGGGTGCCCTGGAATTAGGTTTCTCGTTGGTGGCGAGGCCACAGCATTCCCCATCAAACCTGTGTCAGGGTGAGAATGGAGGCCAGGTCTTTTCCTGCTCATGTGCAGCAGGTTGTCCCATCCCTCCAAGGCCAGGCAAAGCTGCAGCCTCCAGGTTTATCCATGCACAACTGGCGTGCAATGGAAATGTGAGCTCAAATGAGGAGGGAATTGCTCAGTCTATCTTGGAGAGAGATTCCCCAGAGTGGGACATGTTGGTATTCCCTGGTCGCTGTCGGGTGGGAAATGATGTCAGGGACCTCCTGCTTCCAGCTGCTCTCCCAGCCACATTCTCCCGAGGAAACCCGGCCCTCCCTGGGGTGCACTGGGGCTCCTCGCCCCAGCAATGGGAGAGGAATAAGAGGGGTAGGAAGAAGGGAAATCAACAGTCCTCTAAATACCATGATCCCGACCCAAAATCCAGCTGCTTCGAGCAGATCAGGAGGTCTCTGCAGGTGTCTCCAGCCCCATAGCTGACGTCGAGGGAGGTTTTGACATGGCACAAACCAAGTCGTTCATCCTCCTGACCGACAATTCTGCACATTTTCCCCCTAGGTCAAAGGATTCTGAAACAAGCCCTGAGCAGGATCCAGATCGGACAAAAAACCTTCAGCCCCCTGGTAATGCTCAGCCTAGAAAGTAAGTCCTTCCCCACCGCCAGCAGCGGCGGAGACGACGGGTGTTTATCCGCCGTTCGCGGTATTTTTTTCCAGCATTAATTTATTACCGAACCAACGTATTTGACTAGAGGGGACACTGAGGCAATGGAACAAACGTTAATCATCCCCTACCTCCTGTAGGATCTTGGCTACCGCTCACACACGCTCTTGGCTTCTCTCCGGGAACATTGAAGGTCAAGCGCGCGGCCGCAGCCCCCCTTCCCATGGGAACGCCGCGTGCACCCGCCCTGGGCACGGGAGCCTTCCCGCTCCTGTCCTAGCGGCTTTCCTGGGAATTCGGGTCCCTCGGGCAGCCACAGCCCTAAGGGGCATCTCCCTGATCCTCGGGAGATGCCCCGGCGCCTCCGGTGCTGTTGCCCAACGCTTGGCACTGCTGGCGAGGATTTAAATTCCACCGGGCACCGGAAGGGATGAACAATGATGATCTGGTCAAGGGATTAATGGACTTTTCGCAGCCTCATGTCTTGTTTTCACGGTGTCGCCGGCCCTGGCGCTGGTCAGCGGCCAGTGGGAACACACAAATAGGGACACTGGCACCCAGACAGGGGATTTTGTTGTAGGAAAACAGTCGGGAGAACTATGTTTTCCCCTCAAAGCGCATGGCATAAATCCACCTGGCACATTGCAGCGGGAACTTGCAAAACAGGAGTGACTTGGGTCTCCCGAGGACGGAATAAAACCTGGGAGCTGCAGACCAGCAAGCACGGGATGCAGCTCCAGGGGTTTGCATCGACCACCCCAGCAGGGTGAGGGATTGCAAACAGTCAAAAAAAGGTGTTTTCTAACCAAACGCAGGCTTCCTAGCAGGGAGAGAGACCCGCGGGGTGGGAGCGAGGCCCATGGGCACCGGGGGGAACGGGGTCCCGGAGCGGCGCGTGACGCGGCGCCCTGCTGTGCCCGCAGGTAAGCGGAGCGGCTCCCGCGGCGCCGAGGGCACGCTGAGCTACGCCAGGCGCGGTAGGTGCCCGGGGGGACGCGTCGCCTCCCGCCACCCTGGGGTGCTCCCGCTGCTCCCCGACCCTCGCAGCACCGCTTTCCTCCAGCCTTTCCTCAGCACCGCTGCTTCTGCAGATGAAAGCAACGTTTTTAGGGCGTTTTTTGTACCACCGCTGAGCTTGCAGCAGGGCATACGGAGCCACTGCTTCTGGTGCGGACGCCTGAGCGATGGGTCTGCCCCAAAAAGCTCAACCCGTGTGAAGAGGTAGCAGGGAAGCACTCAAGGAGAGCCAAAAGCTTTGCACAGGACTGATCCCCGACTGAGGAGTAGTATGGATTGGGAGTAGGAGTATGGATCAGGAGTATGGAGGAAGAATAGGATGGATCACACCTTAATTTCACACCTTATTTAGGGCAAATAAAAGGCAGGCGTTCATCAGCGCAGCTCCTGGAAACCTCTCCTCCTTTTCCTCATCCCCTTCCTCTTCACCCCACACCAGGGTCAAGTAAGGTCTGCAGATCTGCCCCGCAGGGCGCTGAATTGGAGCCAACAGACCAAAAATGACCCAAATGAGCCAAGCTCTCCAGACGCTGCAGCTGCTGCCACTCAACCTGTCATTTCCAGCCACCAAACCCGTAGCCTGCTCTCACCAGACGGTCTCAATTTCAAGTGTCACCGTTCAAGCAGCTTAGCAGCGTGTGCCTGTCTTCCCTGCCAGTAAATAACTCGACCTGGTTCATTATAGATCAGGTGGAAGGGGCGGCGTGAGGGACTGACAGCACAGGAGCATTTCCAACATTCCTCCTTTCTAGCATTTTCAGTCATTACAGAATCCTTGTAAGCGTTCTTGGCACACCGCCGTCTAAAACTAGTCCCAAACAGGGAGTGCATCTCTTCCGCCCAAGCAATTTAAATGAAAACCATACCAAGTTTATACTGAAATTCCTTTAAACATCTGACCGCATACGAAACTTGCATTAACTCCTCTTTGCGCTTTGCAAACCAGCTGTCCCTTGAAACACTGGCGTTTTTTTAAACCAAACTAAGCCAAAACTAAGCAGGAGCCGCATGCACTTTGCTGCCCTTGAGTTATCCTCATCACCCTGAATTCAGCAGCCTGCAGGGGTTTAAGCTAGAAGCATTCAGGCCCCTTCTCATGCTTTATTTCTGAGATCTTAAAGCATGTTTTGAGCTTGCATAATCTATGCTGTATGTAATATCCAAGTGCAGTCTTTGCTATAGAGACCCTGTAAAGAAAACTCCCCATTTTCGGGTGTGAAAGGCCGTGGGGTGTAGCATGCACCCCTAACTCAGCGCTGACGTCGTTCCAGGGCCCCTGCTGCAGGATTCGAAGAAGTTCTTGTCGCCGTGGTCCAAGTGGAGCGAGTGCTCGGGGAAGTGCGGCCAGACGGGCGTGCAGAAGCGCACGCGGTCCTGCCTGGCCGAGCACCTCTGGGGCGCGCGCTGCAACGAGGTCACCGAGGAAGGGCGCCTCTGCGTCGGGCACGTTTGCTCAGGTGCTCCCCCAAAAGCCTCAGTATATTCCAATTATTA